GTGATTTGCACAAGGCTATAAAGAGGCAGTTACTCTTTCAGGATGAGAACTATGTGGTCCTGTGGTCCTGTGCTCAGGCATGTTAGATTAAGTCTCTTTCATTTGGAAATGGAAATGGAAAGAATTAACTTACAAACCAGCATGAGGATCATGTATCTTGTGTTGCTGCAGCTCTGTGAATGCCAGAGAAGGAATCAGTCCCACATATGTGCAGCTCTTCTGTAGGCAGCTAACAGCATCACTATAGCCATGCATACATACACGGGCTTTTCCTTTGTACTGAACACAGCACATGGTCACACTACCAATGTGCTTATCTCCCTCTAAAGCTTATTTTTTTTAGAGCTGCAGACTTCCAAAACAGGCAGAAATATTACACCAAGCAGGTAACTTTATCCTGTCTGAGAGCTGGAACCATTTATATGCAGGACTCTGGGTTAATTAAGGACTTGGGAATTCAAACATACTGCTCTGATGGTGGAATGGTTTAAAAGTAAGGGCACAGTTATTTAGTCTTGTTTTTTTATCATTATGGCACTGCAGAAGGACCCATCTTGAATCAGGTACTGATATTGCCAGGAATTATTTTAAGTTAATGAAAGCAAGGCACTTGCAGTTAAGAATTTACAGCCGTAACTATAAGATGAAGAATAAAGTTGGGTCTCATAAGTAAATCACTATAATGCTAAGATTCCAACCAATACTAACACACACCTCATTTAGGGCTTTGTTTTCCCATGATTACATAAGAAGATGAGCTGCACTGAGCTTCACACTGCCCCTCTGAAACTGAAGCCAGATAAATATGGGTTGTCCTAAAAATAGACACTTTACCTTGGGCACCGGGAAGCAAGGTGCAAACTTCCACTGAGAAAGAGAAAAATTAGGCTGCACAGGACAAGTGCCCCAGACGCACACACTTTTGCAAGGCTTTGTTCTTAATGTAATTACTTGCAAGTACTCTGGGGTTTAAAAAAATACGTTATTTAGGAGTGAGGGAAGGCAAGAAAGAAAAACCCTTTTGAGATAAGCAAGGTAATTACAGAAAGAGGATTTTTGTACTTTCCTGTATTCACCTGTGTTTCAGAATCTATCTCATAATAGGCAAAGGTTAATCTTTACACAAAGGTGCTAATCTTTACGCATAGGAAAAAAAGACAGTTGGAATTGTTAGAGAAATTAATTCTCTTTTTTAAAACATGGGAAACGTGTCTACTTGCTGGGCTACACGGAAACAGTGAGTTTTTGTCACCTAAAGCAAAGGTGAGAGAGTTGTGTTTGTTCAGCCTGGAGAAGAGAAGGCTGAGTGGGGATCTAAGCCTTACCTACCACTATTTAAACAGGCCTATAGAGAAGATGGAACCAGGCTCTTCTCAGAGGGGAGCACAAAAACAGCACGCGGCAACAGGCACAACTTGCCGCATGAGACATTTCACCTGGATATAAGGAATAAAATGTTCCCTGTGAGGGGGTCAAGCACCCTCAGGTTGCCCAGGCAGGTTGGGGAATCTCCCTCCTTAAAGATTAAACCCACTTGGACAGACCCCATGTAATGTGACCAAGCTTAGAAGTTAGACAGGCTTTGGGAGTGGGTTAGGCTAGGTCACCTCCAGAGGTTCCTTCCAACTGAAATTGCTGGAATGCTGGATGAAGGCTTTGCTGGAGGGGACCACTTACCAGGAAGCATTCCCATGGAACAGCCTGGAGTAGGGAATTGACCAAAAAGACAATCCTGGAAGTTGCAAGCAAGAAAACAGACTCCGCTGCCCCCGTTTCTTTAGAATTGCCATGGAACCTGTCCCTTGTTAACTATTTGCCTCCTTTGGGGAATTAAAACTGCCCATATAAATGACACAACAATACAAGTGTTCCTTAGCTAAGGACAACTTTCAGCTTAGAATTAAGTCTCCTTCCATTTCTTGGCACAGAAACATTGATTATATAAATTTCATAACGGGAATGCAAAGGGCCTTAATGTGGGACTTTGATCAATGATATTATCCTGATTTATAACTGCGTATTTTTAAATGTGATATGCATAAAGCACTAATTTAAAAGCTCATTTTAGTTGCAACTTACTTCTTCCTCTTAATATAGTCACCTGATTACATTTTTTCAGCCCTCCTTGTGTCACGTACTAGATAATCTCCTTATAGTTTAAAACTAAAAATACTAATGGATTGGGGAAATGGATTTCTACGTTCACCCAGCATACGTCTTTTTTATGCTTGTCTTTTGGATCATTTATCTAAATAATAACCTTTAGTACCAGCTCCTTCCTTCCAATGAACTGAAACACAGCAGTGATTAAAGTTGGTGAACACAGCCAGTCCACTCCTGGCTGTATTTTTGCCAGCTGAGATGACAGCATTCAGCAGCTCCCTTTTTCGGGGAATAAGCTACTCACATCCCAAGGCATCTACTGCAGATCCACTTGCATGGGTGCCTCCTAGCTCATTTCAATCAAAACAGCCTGAATTGGCTTAAATAAACCGTAAATCTCTATAAATGAACACTACCTGACAGTGTTGATTGAAAGGCTGTTGATTTCAGTGACTGAGTGGGAGCAATCACACAGGAAACTCAGCAACTTCCAGCCAGCAAATCTGTTGGAGTGACCCTAGAAAAGAGGTGGTAAAACTAGTAATTTCTGCAGCTGGTAGTTGTGGAGAAAAAGGAGGATATAGATCCATGGCCTTAGACTCAAAATGAGGGAAGGTAATCCATTTTGAACAAAGTTTAAAATTGCAGCACAGTGAAGGTAACTGATCAGCCCAAGGTCAGATATGAAGACTGTGGAAATTCTGGGAATTGTTCTATGTTTGTTAGCACCAGTATTCATCTATAATGTTTCTATTATTTTGGTTTTCATTATGTCTGAAAAAAAAGAAGGGACGGCAGGGTATGGCTTTCAGAAATTTCTTTACACATAAACTTTAAAAAATAAAAAATTAGGTGGGAAAGAGGGAAGTATCCTTACAATAGGAGGCATGAGGAAATCCCTTTCCTCATCTACCAGTGCCTTCTGAAACAGATGGAACTGAAGCACATGTGAAGAGTTAGCAACTTCATATACTTGAGACTTGGGAAGAAACACTCCAAAAAAAGTCCTTTCACAAAAGACCCCTCCCAGCAGCCGTTCCCTTTCACAGGGACCAAATTTTAGGTCTGCTGATCACAGTGTAGGCAGTATGACACAGGTGGAAAGAGTATCTCAAACAGGCACATATCAGAAAATCACAGAACAGAAATTCTTTCAAGAATCAGGCTATTTTTTTTCTCCACAGATAAGAACAAAAAATGATCCCATTAGATCAGTCTCTCTGGTACTTCTTTGACTTTTACTATGATGAGAAATTGCATGTTCTCAGTACTAGCAAATTACAAAGCTGTCAGTATCTACCTATGTTAGCTATATTGCTATTAAAAATCATTTTCATGGCATCCAGGAGGTGACCAGGACCATCCAGCAGACACCAGGATAAAAGAATAATATTCCATTCATTCTGCAGGGGAAAAAAAAAATCTATGAATATAATTTAATAGCAAAGGAAATCTGCTAACACAGATTATCTCAGCAGGAAGTGAAAATTTACTGGAGCAACAGCTTCATTTCCAGTGAATCATGCCATTATGTTCAATTGCACCCTAAATGAGAAAGCTGCCCTTGCTGCTTGTTCTCTGCAGTGGAATTACTGTCAAAAGAAAAGAGCAATTGCAAAATGTTCCCTCACTTCGGAATTCCTATTTGCTAAGTGGAACTGATATACACTGCAGAGACCTAAGTGTGAAATCCATAAAATATTTCTGGTACAGGTATGAGCAGGGAAATTGGATTTCTCCACTTTTTTGGTATTTAGGAAAATGGGAACAGTAGTTGATAGACATTTCTGATTACTCACATAATTCAGACATTTCTAAAGTATTTGTAGCAATTTATTAATTTAAATATGGCATCGCTAGACTTGAAAGATGAATTAATCTATTAAGCAGATTGATATTCCTTTCAGTATTAGATTTTCCTGATGATGATATTTTGCCTGAAAATTTCCTTTGATGTTGTTCTTAGAAAGTATTTTTACTTCGTAAATGGGTGATGATAATTCTATTTATATTTATTCCTAAAAGTTACTTGGCCATTTTCACCCAAATTTGTGATTATATAGTTCATCAAAAGAGAAACTTCCCATATTTTCTGGTAAAATGTCGAGTTTTGAAGAAGGCTAGTATTAGAGCTTTCTTTCTCTGTGGATGTATTAAATTTCCTATTATTGGAAGCATTGTTATGAACGACAAATTGCCTGGTGAGACAGAAGGAGGATGCAAATCTTCTAGTTTTAAAAGCATCTGATAGTTAATCATTTTATATTCAGCTGTATTTATCTAGCAATCCAGCATGCTGCCGGAGCAGAGTTATCAATAAATCTATAAATAGGATGCAAAATGGCCGTGAGCTGTCTGTGCATGAGTAAAAGTCAACTTGGCAATAAATTACCCCATAATATATAGTTTAAGGCCTGACAAACCCACAAAATACATCGTTTCAGGGCTTTGAAAGATTCACTGTGCGTCAGCCTGCAGAAAACTGCATTTCTGAGGCAAAGGGCATCCAGGACGCGTGATGTAATGAGAGCGCATGGAAAGATGCACAGAAAGCACAAAACAATCTTCCGAACGACAGTGACATGTTTTGGGGTGAGTCGCCTTCCCTGCGGGTCTGCGCTGTTCACACGGGCTCAGGAAGCCCGCGCCCGGCGGGAAGGACCCGAATGCAGGGCCAGGGCCAGCTGGCTGCACAAGCCACGGGCGCTTTGGGGGGAAATAAACAAATAAATAAAATTGAGGGGAGAAGGTGGACGCTGTAAATCCGCCGGAGCGGCCAACGCGTTTCCTGCCCACAGCAGCCGGGCAGTCCCCACAGGCGCCCGGCAGGCGGCGCTGCCGCACGAAATGGCGGCCGCGAGGCGGAAGTGGAAGGGAAGGGCCGGCTCTTCCCCAAGATGGCGGCGCCCAAGCGCGGCGTGGCCGAGGGCAGCATGAAGCGGCCGGGCCGGGCTCGTGGCGGCAGCCGCGGGAAGCTGGAGCGGCTGCGCCAGGCCGTGCAGGACTTCGTGCAGGCGGCTGGAGAGCGGGCGCCGCCGCCGCCGGGGTCGGCCAAGCAGAGCCGACGGAACCGCCGCGACGCGAGGAAAGAGAAGCGCCGGCTCAAGCGGAGCCGCCGCCGCCGCCTCCTGCGGGGCGAGGAGCCGGGCGAGGCCGCGGGCAGCCCGGCCGCCCGCCCGGCCGCGGCCTCTCCTCTCGGTGCCACGGGCAAGCCAGCCGCCCGCGCCGCGGCCTCTCCTCCCGCTGCCGCCCGGCAGCAGCAGCGGCCGGAGCCGCGGCGGAGGAAGGAGAAGGCGGCGCGGCCGCCGGCCCCGACCCCCAGCGCGGCGGCCGCCGCCTCGGCGCGCAAGCGGGCGCTGCTGGAGGCCAACGCGGCGGAGGATGAGGAGATTCGGCGGCTGGAGCGGCGCCTGGGGCTCAGCAAGCGCCGCAGGAAGGCGGCGGGCGCCGCGGCGGACGAGCTGCCGCCGAGCTTCGTGCGCGACGGGCTGGGCTACGTGCTGGGCGCCCTGGGCTCCGGCGGCAGCCTCGCCGGCCTGTACGGCAGCAGCGACGAGGAGGAGGCGCCGCGGCCGCAGCGCCGGGAGCCGCGGGAGGAAGAGGAGCGGCTCGAGGATGAGGATGACGTGACGGGGGAGGAAGACGAGGGGCTGGAGGAGGAAGAGCCAGAGGAAGAAGATGAGGAGGTGGAGGACGAGGAGGAGCTGGAGGAGACCGAGGATGATGCGTCCAAGGCGAGCGGGCACCAGGAGAGCGGGGACAGCCGGAGCTCATCCCCAGCCCCTGCACGGGAGCAGGTAGGGGCTGGACACGGAGCAGGCCCCACACGGAGCGGGATGAGCTGCCAGGCCTCGTGGGCGGCTGTGGTGCTGAAAGCTGCCGCTGCTGGGGATTTCCAGGTCCCAGCGACAAGTATTGAGTGTTAGGAGGAGAGTTTCTGCCTTCCAGTAGAGTGGAGGGTCATACCCCAAAGCAGGAGGTCTGTGGCCTTGTCTGTGTGTACAATATCGGCAAATAAGAAAAGAAGAAAGTTGCAATCTCCTCAGCCTGAAATTTAGGAGCTGGGACACAACAGGGTGAAACACTGCTACTAAGATCGTAAAGAGTTACCTTAAAACAGGTATCAGCTGCAAAGCAAAGATCCTTGAGGGTGTCCCAGCAGTTCTGCACGATGTGGGTTTGGTAGCGGTGAGGAGGGTGGAGAGGTCTCCACGCCAGCTAATCCACATGGGGCCCTCGGCCCATCTGCAGCTGCAGCTTTCCTCTCTGGAGGCATCCCTTGTCCAGCTGCGTGGTGATGAGGAGCTGAAATGTCAGCTTGAAGAAGAATAAATAGCCACGTAAAGAGAAAAGGGTTTTGCTGTCATCAGCAGCAAACGTGTTCCTTTGGCGTTAGTTATTGCCTGGGAGAGTGCACGTTTAGCTGAAAGTTTGGTATGTTAAATGAAAACGTGTACCTGTGCTCAAATATTTCAAATGCTCTTCTCATCGGCTGTCTTTCTGTTTTCTTGTTAAGGGTCTCGGTCACAGTGCTACGAAGTATGTGCCCCCTCAAGTGAGAAGAGCTCAGGAGGCACTAGATGACAAAAAAAAGGAAGAATTGGGAAGGCTGAAGAAAATGGTGAATGGTCTCATTAACAGGTAATGTAATAAGGGCAAGACATTAATCTTTCTTGTTCTATGTGACAGTGCTCATCAGTCAGAATAAAAAGTGACACCCATGTGACTTTTCTCTTTGGAAACTGATTTTAAGTTGGCAATCATGTCTGCCATCCTTAATAATAATTATCTTTGGTAGAAATTCGTCAAAGTTGGTAGTTATAGAAGTTGAAGATGTCAAAAATAAATTTAAGTTTGGGCTCAATTCCATGCATTTGTTGCCTGTAAGTGCTAGATATAATTCTCAACATGTCAGCAAAAATGTGCTCATTAAATGTTAGATCCCTGATGAATCCTTACTACATACGGACAAAAACATGATTTTTTTAAATAGGATTAAAATCCCTAAGTTACTATCTACAATATATTGTTTAAACAACCGAATAACAGAAAAGTTATTACACTTCATGTGTTTGAAGATGTTCCTAAAATATAAAAATCTATTGGCCTTTACTTTGGTCTGCGTTGTAAATTCCACTTAAAATATCCTGCTGTGAAATGAACACTATAGTATGCAGTTTGTCCAGTTACTTAGAATTTGCCATACCTGTGTTTGTTACGTTAGAAAAACATCAAGTTTTTCCATGCTTGTTTCTTCTGAAGAACATAATTTACCACAGTTAGACCTGCTGGTATAGAATCAGTTTTCACAAAGCTGCTCAGTTTAACAGGAACCCCATTGACAGTACATGGGCAAATACTGCAGCTATTATATTTTCACATGTAAATATTTTCTGAAGAGAACAATTAAATATTTGCTGCAGTTTTCAAATAAGTTAACAAGGAAAAATACAGTAGGTCATTTTTTCAGGCATCTTTTCACTCTTTAGAGAAACTAGGGGAGCTTAAGAAAGAAGAATTGAATGAAAATTCTGTACAGCTCTACAGAGAGAAGAATAATAAACTTTTGATTTTGTTTCTTACTAGGTTGAGTGAACCGAATTTGTCCTCCATCAGTGGCCAGCTGGAAGAGCTCTACATGGCCAACAGTAGAAAGGACATGAATGAAACTCTAACCGATATTCTCCTGAGTGCCTGTGTCACTGCAGTTGCAATGCCTGCTAGGCTGGTGATGGAGCATGTGCTTTTGGTCAGCATCCTTCATCATACAGTAGGAATTGAGGTAATTCTTGTGGCTGGGACTAAGTTCATTTTGCAACGCATATCGTGCAATCCGTATTCCTTGGTGTTTTGTTTAGATCGTCTTAGTAGAGCTATATAGTGACATTGTTACAAAAGCATCACTTGTGTTATTTAAATCATAAATACTTATTTCTGCATCCATTTATAGCATTCAATTTCTTTAAGCTTCAGGTTTTCTCGTGTTTAATTGCACTAATCCATTCCTATTCTCTCATGTGTAGTAGAACATCCTTCTTAAATTAAATGTATCCAAATATGGAAAGCTTTGCAGTTAAAGAAATCTCTTTACATCCTTAGAGATTCTTTAAAGCCCAGCCTTGTATATTGTTGAACTGTGGGGAGGGTTTTTATACTTCTAAGCCAGACAAATGATTGAGATGTCTTGCTCACTAATAGAAGGTGAAACCAACAGTGTCAAAAGCAAGATTTTAGCTAATTCCAATGAAATATCTCTTGAGAGATTTGAGGTGTTTCAACATCGTGTTCCCATCAAGTTCTGTTGTTCCACTTAGCTTTAGAATTAACTTTATGTTCAAATTTAGAAATATTTAATAATAGATACTTGAGATACAGACCGTCTTCTATAGCAGTAAGACAGCTATACAGTTGCTGACTCTGCACTTTTTGAATAAAGACCTTTTTTTAATAAACCTAGGATATGAACTGCACAAAGCTGTGATAATGTAACGCAGGTGCATTTAAAATTAGTTCAAGCACTGGAGAAGTTGGGGTCCCAAGAGTTCTGCTTTTGGAGTTGTACAGTGTGACTGTTGGATAAAGCTTAAGCCTGAACAATTCAAGACTTAACAAGTCCGTGCCACAACAAGGGCGTCAGGTTTACATAAGATCACTCAGTAGATGTTAGCACAGCAATAGTGGGTGTGTTTCTGCTTCTTTGTGCCTTAGCAATAATGGGCTGATTATCTATCTCCATCTATTTTGTTAGGCTTTTCTGTTTCATTCTTTATCATCAGTTTTCTCCTTGTAAATACAAAGGTGAAGGTTCCAAAATTATCCCTACTGGAAAATCAGTCCCAATCATGCTCGGTAACTGAGAGAACTTGGTATGTTTGCAGGCTGTGTTACATTTTGGGTCTTGTTTTATTTTTCCATCTTTTTTATTAAATATTTTATCCTGGAACGCTAAACTCTGATGCAGTTGATTTTTGGACATGCAGATTTTAAGGAAGAATGACTTGCGGTAGCTGACCAGGTAGCTGAGAAGATGCTAGTTTGTGTTAGTGAAAATTGTGTGTATTTGGAGATCTGTGCCTTGATTTCATAACATCTGTCTGTCTAAACTTAGAGTTTAGATAATGCGTGTTTACTTAAATGTGTAGCATCCATTTTGATTAAGAGGAGCAATAGTATTGCTTTAAATGCTTCTTATATTGGTTTTGTTCCTAAAGCTATTGTTTTTGAGGTGTTTTTAAAATCTACTAATGGATTTTTTTTTTTATTTGCATGGATGTTTTTTTTCCCCCCCTCTTACTGGAACTATCGATAGGTTGGTGCTCACTTTTTGGAAACTGTGGTGAAGAAATTTGATGAACTCTATAAAAGTGATGCTGAAGGAAAAGAACGTGAAAATCTGTGTGCTTTGATAGCCCATCTGTATAACTTCCACGTGGTTCATTCCCTCCTGATCTTTGATCTTCTGAAGAGGCTTGTTAGCACGTTCACAGAGAAGGATATTGAGCTGATTTTGTTTCTTCTGAAAAACGTGGGCTTTTCCTTGAGAAAAGATGACCCACTGGCTTTGAAGGAACTGATCAGTGAAGCACAGAGCAAAGCAAACACGGTGGAGAAGAAGCTTCAGGATCAGACTAGGGTATGCGCCAGGTGAAAGATTTTCTGTTCTGAATAGACTTTAATAAGTGCTTAGCTAAGTGTGTTAATTTAATAGCTATTTTCATGCAATACTCTGATTATATTCTAAGTTACCATTAGTACTAGCTGTTGTGCTCACTTACTTTGTTCTAGTGAAGTTTTTCTCCCTTGTTTCTCTGAACACAAACACATGCTTCTGATGGGAGTGACTCGGTGGGTATTATACAATGACCAGTTCTTCTGTTTTATGATACTTTGTACACCTCGGAACACGATGGCTGAGGCTATTCGTTTATTTAGTTAGCAGATTGAGGCTTGAACACAAACAAAGATAATGGCAGTTAAAGTAAACATCATTCTCTGAAATTTAGATCCCTTGAACACAAACACAACGTACATTGCCAGCTGAGCTGCGTACTCTCACAGAGTAGTAATTTCAAAGCACATTTTCTACTTTATTAAGTCAGCTTCTTCAACGCACAGTCCCCAATAGCACTTCTTGTCCCCTTAGGTTCGCTTTATGCTGGAGACTATGTTGGCACTGAGGAATAATGACATGCGTAAGATCCCCGGTTATGATCCTGAACCAGTTGAAAAACTCCGTAAATTGCAAAGAAGCCTGGTAAGAGCCTTCTGCATGTGTGTAGTACAGCTGCTCTTCAACTGTGTGTTCAGAAGCTGAAAAAAAGGCAGTGTATGGAGACTTGATGAGCAAGGAATAGCACTTGGGAATTCATTTATCATTCTAAAACAACTTTGGAGAGAAAAAAAATTTGTTTCACTTAGTTGGGGATTTTAAGAGGTTTACAAGAGTCCAGTATAAAGTACATGAAGTAATTGTCCCATTGGATTGGGGACTAATTGTTTTTCAGTAGAGTTGAATCTAATTCTAGACTGTGTATTTCCAAACCCAAAATCACACTGCTTTTCTACCACATGTAAAAAATTGTAGTTTTGTGACACTCAGTGTAAGTAGAGGATTTGCAGGTTGACAATAATAGACCGTGCAAAAATAAGCTAAGTAACCTATTTCTGTAGTTTGTTTTGTTTTTGAGCAATTCTTAGGCTGTCTTGCTGATACTACAAAACCCATCAGGGTTTTATTGTGTTATTTTATTTGGTCAGAATTTTTTACTAGGAAAATCAATCTTCATTGTTAACAAAATTTCAATTCTAATCAGATTTTAGGATTAGAAGATGGCTGCTTCTTAACTGATGATCATTTTAAACTTCAGAAGCTTCTAAGAATAGATTTAAGTACCTTCTTGCATTTGAGGAATTGGATTCTGTGGAAAACTCATACATTAATTTCAGTCTACTACCTAGAAGAAGAGGTTGTGAGAAGCAACATGTGAAGACCTTGATGCAGATTGTGAAGTCCTGCTGTTATCCTGAAGCATTTGGTTTGGGGAAAGAAAAAAAAATGTGTTTCAGCTAAAAGCTTCTGGGTTTTTGCTTTTGTGATTCAAGGTTCACAACAGTGGCTCTGGAAAAGACACTCAGCTCCGTGTTTCCCTGGAGTCTCTGCTCAACGCTGATAAGATCGGTCGCTGGTGGATCGTAGGCTCAGCGTGGAGTGGAGCACCAATGATAGATAACACAAGCAACAAGACTCAGCCAAAACTGCATATAGGGAAGGTAAATGCAAGCAATGCCAGGCTTAGTGTTGTCAGAAATGTTTTTAATATTGTTCATTCAGGTGGACAAGCTCCTTTCAGGGCCCACCAAAACAAATTTGGTGACTCTTCTAAGACAGAGCCTTTAGATTGTAAAACCTGCTCTCAGAATTTAAAAAAACCCTGCACATGTCCTTTCTGACATCTGTTATTACAAGTATTGAGATACTGTTTATTTCTAATCCTATAGAATTGCCAAAGTAACTTCTTAGATGAAGTGAAAGAGTGGCATATATCTGAGCAGATGCTAAAAGCAGTGCCTGAAATAGTCGCTTGCCTTTAGAGAAGCTCTTAAAAATAATTGACCCAATTATACTAGGTCAGCTTAGTTGAAAGCAAGTTCCTGAGCATTTGCATCCCTCTTCTGAGTGAAAGCTCAGGAATTTTTGATTAATGCTTCACAATTCCCCGGAGTTCTTCATCAAAAGTCATGTTAGAAGTTGTGTTGAAATTGCTTTCTTAAAGCAAGCGTAAATAAAATGACATTAAAAATATTTTTTGTTTTTCAGGTGAGCTCAAAAATAATGGCACTGGCTCGTAAGCAGAGAATGAACACTGATATCAGAAGAGGTATTTTTTGTGTCTTGATGACAAGTGAAGACTTCCTGGATGCCTTTGAAAAGCTTCTGAAGTACGTGCAGAGATGACAGAGCAAAGGGCAGGTTTTAAAAGCGTTCTTTGGGTTGGAAAAATAACATAATGTTGGTCTGGAGCAGAGGGAATTTTTGCAGCTGCAGTTACAAGCGTTGAACTGCTAATGCAGTCGAAGGAGCACGTAGCTTGGCATCCACATGAGGATGGATGGGCTGAAAGGATTAAGGGAGGGGGATCAAAATCCTAGTGTGAGTATGGGCTGCCTAGGGAGCAAGAGGTGACTGGCAATGATGAGAGGAAAGGAGTAGCTCTCGTTACTGTCGTGTGTGTTTAGAACTGCGACTTGCAACATCTTCCGAGCCTGTGTGTTTTTGCAGTGGACATGGGGGTCCCAGTGCAACACAGGGAAGTTTGTTGCAGATTTACCTCTTCACAGAAACAGTCCCCAGGCCCTTTTGAACGTCTCTTGATTTTGTGGATTCCTTTCCTGCTGCCTCTTCTTTGCTGCTTGCCCCCTCTTGCTGCCTTGTTCAGCCCCTTTGTGCACCTCTGTCCAAGCTTGCATGACTTGATAATGTTTTAGCACCTCACTTCCACTCTGCAGAGTTTATTAACTTTGGATTTGCTCCAGAGTCACCTCATGTTAAGACTGGTTCCCCTACCTTTTAGAAGCTGATGTGATCAGCAAAGAGCTCAAACTAAACTGTTCTTCGTGACTGTCAGATACTAATTTTACATTTGTAGTAACTGGGATCCCTGGAGGGATCAGGTCTGGACACTTTTGTTCCTGTTTTGTAATTCAAGGGAGTTGTCCTATCAAGATGGCATGCAATTCTTTAATTTGCTAACCAAACCAACCCTGACATTGTAATAAACCCAACTAATATTTGATTAAATGCCACTTCTGCAAAACACAGCTTGGATTTAAGACTGATGGAGTCGTTCCAATATCTTAATATGGCCTGTTCAATTAAAAGAAATTAGCTGCTGCTGCAGTTCTTGCCAAGGCCTGGTTGTTCAATTTGCAAATTGATCCTTGACTCTTCTCCTTGCTATTTAAACCAGTATACAAATACACACAGACTTGGCAGAAGACCTGTGGCTGCAGTGGGTTGAAGCTGATATTTATACAGCAAACGCTCAGAGGGAGGAATTCTCAAATCCTCCTGCATCTGGCAGGGAGCAAAGCAAAGTACGCAGAATCGTCGGTAAAGACAGTAAAAATTTAATGTGAAAATGTTTGCCAAAGTGCACAGGAGTTTATATTCATATGTTTGGTGTCAGGCTCCTGAAGTACAAAGGAAGTATGTGTGTTTTTATCTGTGCTTGTTGATGCATCTACTGTTAGGTCTCTGACGGAGTTGAGCTGTGCTTGGTGGCAGCTCACAGCCCTCTAAAGCCAGGCTGGTTTTTTTCTGCCTTTCTTCTCCTCCCAGCAAATGAGAGGGTCAGTTTATAGCTGGAGCAGCCCCGTGAAGTGACTCAACCCGTCCTTGCAGCAGGGACAGTGAGGAGGGGAGGCTGGGGCTACATTCTAGAAGGCAGATGAGAGTGGGACTTGATCCATTTAAGCAGCTGAAAGTCTCTTCACTTGGTCACAGCCACCTGCTCTGTAACAAAATCAGGTAGAATTGGCTGAGGGGAGGAGAGCTGATGGGAGCAAGAGGACAGCACAGGCCTGGCAGAGTGAGACTGGGGGGGAACAAAACCCGTGGGGGAACAAAACCTGAAGTCATCACTGCTCATTAGCAGTCAACCTGGAAATTATCCCACATTTTCGTGATTTTTTTTTTTACTTTGTGACTTTTTTTTTCCCTAAATGATGGTATTTTCTCCGTAAATTTGGTCTGTATCTGTGATCAAAAGCAGTGACAGACGTGTGGGATTAGATACAACAGGGAACAGCCACAAGCTCAGACTGTCTGTGCTCTGCAGGTCGAGTTCCAGTGGAGTCTAATTTCCTTCGAAAATACACTTGCGTTTATGAAGGCCACATGAAACCTGAGCCTGAAGCAAAGAGAATCATCTTGCTTGCCGTTTTTCAGATTATAATATTAAGCATTTTTCATGTTAATTGGTTTTAATGCTGCCAAGCCTTCAACAGCCCTGGAAATGAATCCGTGTTATTCGCAGAGCAGGTGCCTTGCGAGGTGGATGCCATTTCCCAGCCACTTCCAGAGCGGTTGTGTTTGTGTGAAGGCCCTGGAGTCCTTGGCCTTTATGCAGAGGTAGCCAGTGATCCCTATTATTTTCTTCTAAAATTCTGTTTTTTTTCTAAAGCAGCTTGAAATCACTGCTGCATCTCCTTAGACTGCTGCATACGATGATTAATTTTAAGAATTGTCTAACGCAGAGTTGAGTTGATGGATACTATTACTAATTAAATTAGAAAAGAAAAAATGTTTTTCCAATCGCTAGTAAGTACCACAGAAGTGAAGACTTCTGCACTTAATTTCTTAACAGGTTTATACTAATTCAAAGGCTATTTTCTTTCCTATGACCATAGGTGCAAGTGTAAAGCAACCAAAATAGCATCCTACGGTTTTTATAACATGAAGTGGGCCGTGTTTCCCCCTGATTATACTTGTGTTGCTCTGCTTCTGACCTTGCAGTCTCAGTTTAGCACTGGTACTACTGTAGCATTGCCAGGCAGGGTGTTGGGTTTGCCTGCAGTTTGCTTCCATTTTGTGTTTTAAGGGCTTTGTGAAAAAAGTCACACTCAGTTCTGGTTATTTCTCCCTCTTATTAGTTTATTAACTGTGGCTCCTGTTTTGTGGCAGTTACTTTTCTTACTATACTTTTATTCTCTTACTAAATTTTAGGCTAGGGCTGAAGGATCAGCAGGAGAGAGAAATTGTTCACATTACCCTTCACTGCTGCCTGCAGGAGAAAATGTATAACCCCTTCTATGCATTTCTGGCCAGCAAGTTTTGTGAATATGAAAGACGATTCCAGGTGAGGAAAGATCATTTTATGCTTTGTTGAGATGCTGTTATTGTGGTTAGAAAGATGGTCATTAAAAAACAATGTGTAGATATATACATATTAAGATCCTGATCCCGGAAAATTATGCTGGTGGACGGCATGTCAATGGTCAGCCCTAAGCAGGAGACAAAATAACTGCTGCACCAGGTTTGCTTCTTTCTGTTTTACACATTTTGAAAAGAATTTAACAGTCTTGCTGAACATCTGTTAATCAAGGGATGTTCATAAAGAATAGAAGGCAAAAAGATTTTGTTTGTGGTGTTACTTGTTTAAATGGTTGCTTGATGTGTCGTGTTTCCTGTCATGCTGCCTAGATGACATTCCAGTTTAGTATTTGGGACAAAGTCCGGGACTTGGAAAACCTGTCAGCCACTGCTGTCTCCAACCTGGTTTCACTCTTAGTTCACTTGTTGAGGACAAAGTCGTTGCCGCTCTCCGTTCTGAAGGTTGGTGTGTTTCTCCTCAACACGTTTCTGTGCTCTCCTTGTGTTTGCTAGTTAGGTGGAAATGCATGTGCTGTGTGAGCTCGCTACTAGTTTAGCTGCTTGTGTGCGTAAGGCAAGACGAAAGCTATCCAGAAATGTAGAGAGTTTATTTCAAAACAGTAATTGAAACATATCAAGCAGGCAGTGTTCTATGTTGATCTCAATTTCCAAGTCTTTATTTTCTTGGAAAAAATAATCCTGCCGTCCGGGTCCTAGTGGACAGGTTCTTGGTAGCTTCACTACTTCCTCATTATTTGGCTTTGAGGCCAAGTTCTCACCTTCCTGTCAAACTTCAGGCTCTGTGGGTGTGGGAGAGCAATCAATGAGCTAAAAGCTGATTATTATAAAGAGAGTTTACTTATTTGAAATACTGGCATTGTTTTCTCTATATTGTCCTCTAGGTAATCGAATTCAGCGAACTCGATAAACCCAAAGTCCGTTTCTTGCGCCAGGTCTTAAGCATGCTGTTAATCAAAGCAGATGCTGAAGATCTTCAAGACATTTTTGGGAGGTAAGTGATCAGAGAGATCTCTAGGGAACCATTGGTGCTGAGTAGTGATTATACAGCTAAGAGATTTGCCTGTTTTATTCTCCAAATACCACCCTCTGTCCCCTGTAAGTAAGGGGCTGGGGAAAAATATATAATTTATGTGTTAATATAGAATCTGTTATAGATACATCTGTGTAATATCTTAAAATAACTAAGGCTTTCAGATAACTTGGTGTGTTATTTTGGTTGTTGGCTTCTTGGGAACAGAACTCTGTACCTTCCTCCTTTCCTTACTGCTTTACCATACATGTGTTATGAGGTTCATTCTCAGCAGTTTTTCTGACTAACAAATTTCTTTTGTATAAGGAGAAAAATAAACGCTGATGAAGGAGAGACTGAGGTGTTGGAGGATTGTCTATTTTTCAGGTGGCAGAACTTTTATCACTGCATAAACATGTAGTGTGCAAGCTGTAAGAGTGAATTTTACTCTCTGGAAACAGTTCCACCAAATAAAGTAAAAAATTTTTTACTAGTTGTCGTAAATAAACTGGAGGGTGCAGCTGATAAGCTGGAGAAGCAGCTACCGGTCAGTTGTGAGTGGGTGCAGCAGGGATCTGATCTGACAAACCCTCTGGGATTACACAATTTGCTGTATTAAACTTGTATTTGCCTCAGGCTTGACTGTAAGGTAGTTGTTTACATAAAGCAATTCAAACACTCTAATATTCCATTTTATTGTCAAGGACCAATTGCAGGTTGAGTGTGTTGGGCCGTTTGCCAGACAGCTAACTGTTAGTTAAACTTACTGTTCGTTTGAAAGCTTCTTCAGAAAAGCTCCTTTTTTAATAGCTGATTTTTTTCCTATGACTCTATTTGAAGAATAAATTAAAAAAAAAAAAAACTTGGCAATAGAAAACTAATTTTGTTTTTCATCTATATCTTTACAGGGTATCTGAGAATCCCAAATTGGGAATGCTGCGGGAAGGCTTGAAGCTTTTCCTCACCCACTTCCTACTGAAAAATGTAGAAGCCCACAGAAGTGGTGAGGAGGCTGCCTTGTTAAAAGAGAGAGTGGAACTAGCAAGCAAAGCTTTGCAATCCAAAGAACCCAAATTGAAACTGTAATTCTCTTTTTTCCAATAAAACACGAGTGTGAAAAACTAGATCTACCTGAAGATACAAAGGTTTGTGTTAGTCTTTCAGATAAGTGAGAATGAGGGGAACAGAATTGCTGTGGAGGATCTGGTGTTTGATGTAAACAGTTGCTTTGCTCTACATGCTAGTTACAAGTCTGAAGGTGATACAGGGCCTTTCTGAAAAAAAGGGGGAAATGTGTTTTTTGGTAACCTGCATTTTCTGTACCTGTACTTCGTGGCAATAGCTCACATCTAGAGAAGAGGCCAAATTTCTCTTCAACTGTACTCCAAGTCAGCAGCAGTGTTTAGCATTGGATATTTTAACCTTTCTTTTAAGAAGAGAAATATATGCATATCTATCTGTGTGTTTTTTATACAGATATTTTTATATATATATATACAGATATTTTTATATATATAAAAAAACCGCACATCCACACATAGTGGTCAGTATTCTACAGTTTTAACCAGAGCTTTTAATTACCGGTCATTGTATTTTGAACTAAGAAGAGGCCACTAGATGGCAGCACCACTGGTGAGTCAGTCTTGGAAGAAATTAACTTTTTTTTTAGAAAAAAAAAAGTGTCGAATATGTCAATTCTAATTCTGTGAATTGTTTGCATGATTGTGGCTCAGGAGGGGATCTGCAGCTGAATTCATAAAGTAAAAAGACCTGAAGATCTGGCTTTGCCCAATTATACTGGGTTTAAAGATCACAGCATAACTTTATGCTATTTTAACCTGCTTTTCTCAGCTTTAAAGTTGGGAGTTATCAGTCTTGCTGCTTGTGGTTATCAGGTTTTACTAGACATAAAGACTAAGATTATTATCAGTCTTTCGATAAGAAAATCCTTTCTCTTGCTTTCACTTTCCACTCAGGTGTTTAACTAATGTACTTTTCTTTGTGCAGCAGTTATTGAGTGGTCTGTTTCTTTTGGTGCTTACAACTAGATATTAAACTACTGTCTCCTGGGAGCGTTGCTGTTTGTGTCACCTTTATTCCAGGGGCCAGTCAGGAGGGAATGATTTTAAAAGAGAGGGAAAATACCTGGTTCCCAGGTGGCAGTGTGTAGTGCACCTGTGTAGTGCACCTGCACTAAAAGCCTATTTTTGCAGGCAGGTTTGTTCTCTGCTCAAGAGTCCAGTCACCTCCGGGGCCTCTGATTCTATTTGATACCAGGTGAGAGATTCTGTTCCTTTGAACTTTCCCCTCTTACACCTCAATTCTGCAGCCAAAGAGCTGGTCGAGACATTGAATCAGAGAGTTGGTTTGGGAATAGTTCTGCTTATTCAGTTGACAAAGTAGTTGACAAAGTAGCATTTTTAGAAAGTGAAGCATCTCCCCAGCATCCATGGAGATGTCTTTATGGCCTTTTCTTTTCCTGTGGGGAGGGCAGGTTGTAGGGAGCGTATCCTGCCCTCAGCAAGGCTCACTTTCAAAGTGCAAGGTTACAGCGGTGTGGCAACCACTAACTTAGAAGAGACCCCTAGCAAGAGAGCAGCCTGAGATGCTTCCTTCAGCCAATTCCAGGTAGTTTTTAGGTGCCGAAACAGAACAGCTGCTTTCCCTCAGTTGGATCTCACCTGCAATGGGCAGAAGAGAGAAAAAATAATAATAAAAATATCTCTAATAAGACCAATTAGTAGAGCAGTATGGGCAGCAGAGGCACTGACGCTGTGTTTTGCCTGGATTTCTCTGGTGCATCAGTCACAGCTTTGCATGTATGAGGAGTTCCTTTGCAAGCAGTTGTGCCCAACCTCGTATTTTAGCTTTTGAAGCTGAACGTGGGTGAAGAAAATGTGTACAAGTGGCTGGAGATCGTGCAGTGCAGCACATGGGACCGTGGTAAGTAAAGATGAATCCCACTGGACTGCAGCGACAGCCTAATTAATTGCATGTTTTTTTGTAGGGATTGGGGGAGAACTCGGTACCTCAACATGCATGTGGTTTAGTAACATCCAAAGTGAAACACGTTGCTCCAGCAGGGAGGTGGGGGTAGCTCTGGTGTTGAAGACAGATCAGAAGTGATGGTTGCAGCGCAGCAGTTCCTTGCTCGATTCCTTTGCTTGGTGGTCAGACCTGACCACCCTTTGCTGCCTGTGGAAATGGGGTTTTATGGGTCTGAATCTGCCCACTCGCTGCAGCTGCCTGAGCCAATGTGGTGCAGGTGCCGCTGTGCAGTTCGTGGAGATGGTTTCCACCTTAAAGCCTGAGATTGCAATCGCTGGTTTTTTTAAACTGAAAATTAATTAATATTCCCAACAACTCGTACAGTCTGTTTTAACTTAGTAAATTACTTCAGCCACTACTTTGTTTCTGTGGAAAACAGGTTTTAACCTTCCTGCAGCTCTTAGTTTGATGGTGCTTATGTACAATCATGAATCTTATTGAAAACCCAGTTTTGCAGGGAAGCAGCCCAAGTGGTGCCAGCGCACGGAGAAGCGGCCGCGGAACAAGGTCAGTGACTTTGGGTGGCACAGACCAACTGGGAAAAACCTTGTCAAACAGAAATGCAACAGTTCTTGGATAAACAGGAGCTGAGGAGAGAAAAGCTGAGATAATATTACATAATTTTTTCCCCACGTGGAAAAAAACTTCTCACTGACAAAGGCAGCAGTACTGGAGCATCTCCCCCACGTAGCAGGGTGCTCGGAGGACTCCCCTAACAGCAGCGAGTGCTGAACACGGGCAGAGGCTGCTGGAGAAGCTGCCAAGAGCTCGGGCACCATCTGTGCTATAGACAAATTACCGCAGTGTTGAGGGGTTTCCTCCTGATGGGTGCTGGTTGCTCAGCCAAACAGCAGAAGGAATGAGCGGGAAATGACTTTGAAGTGATAAAAATAAGCTAAACGGGGAAAACAAAAAGCTATGGTTGGAACATTCTTATTTATATCTGATAAATCGGTGGAAAACACAATGTGATCTGCTGTAGAGTCATTTAAAGATGAATTTAGGTTATCTTTCAGCAGACTATTTCAGTCTTCTTTTAAACCAAGTGTAGCATCCACTTGCAGTTCTTATCGCCGTTTCACTTCTCATTTGCTTTTGAGCCAGACTCGTCATATTTTAGACCTTCTCTGGATTTTGTATCAGAGCTATCAGGGCAGTGTAGTCTGGTTTTCAGCTTTGGCCAGAGCGGCTGGGGGATAAATCATGGTGGAGCCCTCGCGCCGCGGCCGCGGCGTGCGGGGAAAACGCTGCGTGGCGCAAGCGTGATCTGGTGGATGGGAGGGAGCAACCCTAAGCCTTCGTGTCAACAAGATGGTTTGATCCACGGGGTCGCTTTTCCAAAGGGGTCATTTCATCTAGGGTTTTTGGGACAGCTCTGACCTCAGGAAATGGTAGATAAAGCCCTATGACTCTTTTACCATCTGCTGGTGATTTCATCTGCAGGAGCTGTGGGGTTTAGCGGGAGGCCGGTGGGCGCTGCAGCTCCCGCCCAGCGCCGCCACGGTCCGCGTTCCTGCTTTAATGCCGGTGAATTACAGTAGCCCTCCCCTCCTGCGGCTGCACGCGCGGGGCCGGGCGGATATCACGTGCCCCCCTAACAACCCCTGGAGGAAATGGAAGAAACATCTAGTGCGAGCCCCCCTGGAAGGAGCCAGCTGGCACCGAGGGCTCTGTGCAACTCCTGTCGTCGGACAAAACACTTTGCGCGTGAGAAACAGTTCACGTCTCATGTGCGGATGGCTCTAAAGCAAAATCCAGAGACCCTGAGGAACGTGATGCAGCTGGGCCGGGAAAGACGCGGGAAAGCTGCGCCCGGAGCCCATGGAGGAGCCTTTTTCCAGGCGTGCGTCTTCACCGCGGCGTCTCCCCCTCGGCCAGCGCTGCCTTCGGCGCTGGAGAGATTTTTTTCCTCTTACACTGTGATTCACTTCTCCCTTAAAACAAAAAAGTTGGCCAGGTGATTTCTGATATTCAGATTTTCCGAGCAGTGTGTTTTGCTGTAGATGGGGGTGGAAGGGAGCCCATTTCCCCGCAAAGTTTTCCAGCAGGCCCAGGACCATGCAGGTACCGCACGAGTAGGAGGCAGAAGATGAAGGCGTAAAAAGCTCCTGCGAAGCAGAAACGCGGCCACCAGCAGCTCCCTCAATGCCTGGGAAAGCCGGAGTCTTGGTGCTGCCTCCTTGTGCAGCCCCAAAGATGAAGCCCTGGAAGAAACATGGACGGGGAAGGCGAGCGCCAGGAAGGGGAAGGCGGCAGCGGCGACAGCAGCGCCGCCGGCTGGAGCCCTTGGATGGCCGTGGCTGCCGCCGCCAGGCCTGGCAGGAGCGCCGTGATTAACAGCGCTGGCTGCGGGCGCCCGTGCTGTAATTACTCATTAACGCTGCTGAAATCGCCCCTCGGTGCGGCAGCCACACAGGCTTTATAGCTGCGGCGCACGCGGGGCCAGCGGCACCGGCCGCAGTGTCCGCAGGCCGCAGTGTCCGCAGGCCGGAGCCTCCACAGGCTGCAGTGTCCACAGGCCGGAGCTCTTGGGAAGGGCTCCGGGGATCCCCTGCGAGGCCGGAGCTGCCTCAGACCAGGGGCTGCTCCAGCTCCCACATCCTTGCGTTCCCCACAGCTGCTCCTGGGCTGTGTTGGTGGTGCTGCCCACACGGGCCATCCCACAGGGAGCCGCTCCAGGGGATGGGCCCACGTGGTCCCTGCTCCTGCAGGCACAAAAATGGGCCAAACCTCCCCGATAAGACAAAACTGCCGCATCTGCTCTGGGACATCCTGAGCCCACCTTAGATGTGATCCCAATTGCACATAGGGACCCACAACATCCAGAGGGCCCAAGCCCTGGGATGTTCATCCCTTCCATCCTTTGCTCTGTGCTGCAGCCAGGGGGATCCCAGCAGCCCACCAAGAAACCTCCAGCACCCAGAAAACAGCTCAACAGCGAAAAATGAGCATTTAGAAAATGAGCATTTCAAAAAATGATCTTGAAGTGCGATGCAGGATTCTCCTGCAGCCTGGAGAGAAACTAGGCATGAATCCCTGGGCTTCGGATGAGTCTAACGCTTTGGGCTTCAGAAAAAATCAAGGCACCTTCTCCCGAGGAAGCGTTCCCAGAAGTTCTATGGAGAATTGGAGGGGGATTATATATTTATGGCTTCCCATTTGAAAGACTTTTAGCAGGTTTACCTCAGACATATGGATCCTATTTTGCTCCTTTTGTTTTAGCACTTAATGCTTATGAAATTGCCAGTTAATGACATCCATGCCTAAACCCCATGGCTTTGAAAAGGAAAGTTTACACCACGGGCCTGTGTATGTGCCCACCCCTTCCCAGGCTGGCCCAGGACAGTTTTAAGAGGCTTCTCACCCAGGAGCCCATCGGATAAGGATATTGAAAACAGGGGGAGCTGGGATGGGTGCAGGGACTGCCAGGGTTGGGTGCTGGGGTGGACAGGACTGAGCTACAGGACCTGAACCAGAACATCCCTGCATAAGGATCGGGTCTGTGGATCCCATTCCCGGGTCCTCTTCCTCCTCTCATAGTGCTCATTATGAGCCTCCCCACTTCAAAAGAACTTGGGAAACCCGATTTAAAGGTTTTTCTCCCACCATTGGGATCAACACCTTCTTTGAAGCTCTTCCAAACAACAGCGCTTGTGCATCTACCACTAAAAGGCTCTATCTATATTTTAAATGAGTTTAATTCCTTTCTCTCACCCTCTCTCTCTCTCTTTTCCCCCTCCACCTCTCTCCTTTCAGTTTTGGAAACACCTGGTAAGCTGTAAAATGATTTACGAAGTGAAAGTGTTAAATGAGGCCACCAGCTGTAAGACTGACAGAGCTTTATGAGTTTTATTAGGTGCCCTATTATGGAAAATAAACTTTAATCCGTCCATAAAAAAACAGAATCTGAAAACCACATTTGCCCTCGCAGCCGGAACACTGGCGGGATTCTTGTGCGAGGCCGGGCTCTAAAGAGATTAATTTTATTGAGACAGACACAATACAGTGAGAGGACTTTGATACGGGCATGAATAGCTGCATGTGCCAGCCGGGGTGTTTTTCACGGGGCCAGGGACGCGTTTGGACACAAACTTGGGGTCCCCCCTGGCCACCTCCTCCCGCTGCATCAGCGGCCACGGAGCTGGGGGGGCTGGGAGGGACCCGGGGCTCCCTCCCCGTTTGCTTCGGATCCTCGAGCAGGAGCCGCAACGGAAGGGAAGCGATTGGCGCCTTTCCATCCCGCCCCTTATTAGCGATCGATTATCGATCAAGCTAAACCGGGGGCATCCCGATTTTTCGATTTATTTCCCCCCGACCTTCAGGTGGTGGCAGGATTGATGGTGCGCGCCGCGAGCTGCCCCGATCCGCGGCACCGGGAAAATACCCGCGGGCTCTGCGGCGCTGGCCGCGTTTCGGGGGGGTCGTACAGGGGCTGCGTGTAGGGGCCGCGCTGCTCTCCACTGCGAGGATAACGCGGGTCTGCGAAAATCCGTTAAAATAAAATAAAATAAAATAAAATAAAATAAAATAAAATAAAATAAAATAAAATAAAATAAAATAAAATAAAATAAAATAAAATAGCGCGGAGTGGGAACTTGCGTGCTCTGAGCAGTTTCTGCTCCGCGGAGCTGCGCGGGTTCTGCACGCGGTAACGCGGCAGCGGGACTGGGGCACGAGCCACGGATGGCACCGAAACCCACGGAAATGGATCGTCCCCAGCCCCGCAGCCTCCCCTGCCTCTGCTCGGTTGCAAACCTCGATTTTAGGCTCCTGCCAGCCAGGTCCTCCCGGCGCCCCCCCAGCCCCCGACAAAGCGCCCACACGTCTCAAGTACAAAACGCTCTTTATTCGCCCTCCCACCGCGCGGGCGGGAAGGCTGAGTAATAATTTAGCATGCATAAGTAGAAGTATTTTTTTTATAAATACGATATACAAAAATAAAGACAGTATTGAGATTTCCAGCAGTTTTAACGTTCATAACATAAACATTTTTTTTTCTTCCCTACCCCCACCCCGATATATAGTAAGGACAAAACATTTCCAATACTCAGCGAGAAGGGAGCGCGTCCACGGGTCGGGGGTGGAGGGGAAATAGTGGTGCGGGGGGGGCTCAGGTTTGGGCTGATCTCAGTCCCTAATAACACTGTGTTCCCTGCAGGCGCCCTGCGCGGGCACGAGCGTCCCCTGCTCCATCCCCCCCCGGCCGGGCAGGGGGGACAAAACGGCCCCGGGGCGGCGGGGGGGGGGGGGGGGGGAACGCGGCCCCGACGGGGCGCGCAGCGCGAGGGCCGGCGCTCACTGGGGCTGCGCAGGCGGCGGGGCGCGGGGCTGCGTGTCCTCCTCGTCCGGCTCGGAGCACTCGGAGGAGTGGTAGGGGCAGCAGCGAGTGGCCTCGTCTTCCTCCTCCTCCTCCTCCTCCTCGTCCTCCTCGTCGTCGGGCTCGCTGTCGGGCAGCTCCCGCAGCCGCCGCGCGCCGCCCTTGTCGGGCGCCGCCAGCAGCAGCCCCTCGGCCGCCTGCTCCTCGCCGCCCTTCGGCGGCTTCTCGGCCTCCTGCGCCGCCTGCTCCTTGGCCTTCTTGCTGCGCTTCCACTTCATGCGCCGGTTCTGGAACCAGATCTTCACCTGGGGCAGAGAGGGACGCACAGAGAGGGGGTGCGGGGGTCCGGACCACCCTCGGGCCAAGGGGGGCCGCGCGTGACCCGGTCTCACCTGCGTCTCCGTGAGCATGAGCGACGTGGCCACCTCGAAGCGCTTGGGCCGCGACAGGTACTTGTTGAGCTTGAACTGGTGCTCGAGCTCGAGCAGCTGCTGGCTCGTGAAGGCGGTGCGGGGCCGCCGGCACTTCCCCAGCAGGTTGGACTGCGCCTGGGCTGCGGCGGAACGGCGAGGATTAATTATAATCATAATGATAATGATAGAAATAATCCCCGCTCCTGGATGGGGAACTCGACGGCCCCGGCTCGCCCCGAGCTGCCCCCTTGGGTCAGGGGTGGCAGGGCCCCCCCCAACCCCGTCCGAGCCGTCCCTTCCTCGGCAGGCCGGGCTTAGGAGAGGGACCGCGGGGCGGGCGCGGGGGTCATCGCTGGGAAATCACTGCGGGGAGGGAAGAAAAAATAATAAAAAAAAAATAAATAAAAGGTCTTGAACGAAAAAAATTACAAAACAAGCAAACAAAACAAACAAAAAAAACACAAAACAAAAAACTACATCAAGCTGTTTGCCTCGTTCAAAAGCAGAAGATAAAATAAAAATAAATAAAAAGATCAAGCGGGGATTTCGTAATTCTCCCTCCCCCAAGCTTCTCCCCCCGGGCCCGGCCTCCCCGGGGCCTTTGGGCACTTTCGCTGTTTGGGGTTAGAAAACGGGAGAAAACGGCAGGAGGCCGCTGCGCCCCCCCCGCTCCCCTGGAGGCCGCGCATTGAAGGGGCAGAAAGCGCCGGGGAGCGCGGGGATTTTCTCACTGCCGTGCGAGGCTCGATGTCGGCTTGCCGGGTATTTACCCGCCTCCCGGCGGGGACCTGCTCGGCGAGGCTCTGACAGCTCTCCCACTATTTCTTTTCTTTTTTTTTTTTTTTTTTTTTTTCCTGCATGTTCCAGCCCAAACAATCCCAATTCGAGGGAAAACAATGGACTTTTGTCCGCTGATGTGTGTGCAGGATATTTAAAAAAAAAAAAAAAAAAAAAAAAAAAAAAGCGCAATAATTTTCAGGCGTGATTTGGTAAACCTACACCCCGCACCGCCGCGGCGGCTGCAGCGGCCTTGCCCGCACTCAGAGCCCAGGAAAAGGGTCCGCGCTCTGCCCCGCACACGCTCCTAAGTCCATTTTCCGTTGGAATAATAATGTAATAATAACAACAATAACAATAATAATGACAATAATAACAACGATAGGAAAGGAACACGGACGGATGCCAAGGGCCGCCCGCTCCGTCGGGGCACGGCGGGACCCGCCGCTCGCTGCTCCTGCCCTTTCCCCGCGGGAGCCGCGGAGGCTCCGCGGGCAGCGACAGGACACGAGTTGTCGCGATTCCCTCCCCGTGTCGCGACAAGCCGGGCAGCCGAGAACTCCCGAGGAGCAGGCCAGAACGAGGCGACTCGCGCATCCCCCTTCCCGTTCAGAAACACTATTTGCCCCCTCCATAAATATACATATATAAAAAATATACAAATATAACCCATACATAAACATAAAAGCATTTTTAAAAATCTGTATATATACACATATATACACTTATATAAAATATACACATACATATGTGTATATACATAAATACGCACGTATATAAATATGTATATAAAATATATGCATATAAGTATACATGTATAAAATAGATATACACACATACCCAAAAATGGAATATATATACACATTTTTTTTTAATGGAAAGTTTATGCATATATATATATACACACACATACACACATACACACACATATATATATATAAAATACATATATATAAAATACATATATATATAATACATATATATATACACACACACACACACCCGTGTACACACACACAGAGGGACACGCGGCGCGCGGCACTCACAGCCGAAGTCGGGCATCTTGGGCAGGATCATGCCGGCCGTCGAGGCGCGCAGCCACTGGTCCAGCTGGAAGGTGCCCGCGCCCAGCTTGCCCGCCTCGGCCGCGGGGTGCGCGGGGTGCGCGCCCTGCACCTGCGCGTACGGGTAGGAGAGCGCGGGGTGCTGCGCGGCCAGCGCGGGGTAGCCGTACACGGGGTGCCCGTAGAGGGCGGCGGGCGGCACCGCGGGGCCCGCGGGCGGCAGCCCCAGCGCCAGCCCCGCCGAGGGCGCCGGGGGCGGGGGGGGGCCGCCGCCCGCGCCCCCCAGGAAGCCGGGCTTGGGCACGAGCGCGCAGTGCAGCAGGCGCGGCGGAGAGGGGCTCTCGGCGCCCGCCGCCGGCTCCGACGACGACGAGGAGGAGGAGGAGGAGGAGGAGGAGGACGGGGGGCTGCGGCTGCCGCTGCTGCTGCTGCTGCTCAGCGAGGTGACCAGCGCGAGCGGCGCGCTCTGCGCGGCGGCCTTGGGGGGGTCCACGGCCAGCAGCGCGTCGATGCGGAAATTTTTGGATTTTTCCATGGGAGCGCCGCGCGGCGCCGCGCAGGGATGCGGGGAAGGAGGGACGCGGGACGGAGGGATGCGTGGCGGAGAGAAGCGGGACGGAGGGACGCGGAGACACAGCTCAGCCCAGTGCGGCGGCGCCGGGCGGCGCGGCCCCTTCAAGGCCCGTAGGCGGCTCCCATTGGGCCGGGCCGCTGCCGCCTCCATTGGCGGCGGCGCCGGGGCCCGCGCGCGCTATTGGCCCCGCGCGCACCTGTCACGGCGGCGCGGGGCCGCCCCCGACGGCCCGGCCCGTCCTCCCGCCGCCCCGGGAGCCCCGCGGCCGCCGCCGCCCCGGCCGCCTCCCCGGGGCCCCGAGTCTGGGGGGGGGGGGGTGCCGGAATTGGGGGGTTCTGTCTTTTTTGGGGGTGCCCAGCGGGAAGGGAGGCGCCGCCTCCGGCAGCTCCGTGCGCTGGCGCTGCCCCCCCACACCGAGCCCCGGCCGGCCGAGGTGGCTCCCGCGACGTGTTAAATTACAATTTTCCACCATTCCGGCGCTGAGCAAATATTTGCAATGAGTGCGCTGCCAAACGCCTTTTTTTTTTCTTTCCTTTTTTTTTTCTTTTCTTTTCTTTTCTTTTTTTCCCTCTATTTTTTTTTTAACGAGCTGGAAAGTCTAAACACCTGTAGGTCAGGAAGTCAGGCCCGCCACCAAAACGCAGCTCGAGCAATAGCGCTGCTGGAGCCGCTTGTCTAGCGCAAACGCGGGCGGACGGCGAAGGGAAGAGAGATCCCGACCCGGGGCTCCCCGGGACCGCGGGCTCCGTCCCCGTGTCGCCCGTGGGGGCAGAGACGAGAGCTCAGGGGCGTTAGCAAAGGGCCCCCGCTCCCGCCGCCCGGGTCTGGTCACGGACGGGGCGGCCGCTCCGTGGGGGCCGCTCTCGGCCCCGGCCCTCGGCGCGGCCTCGTGCCCCGCGGCGCCGGCTCCGCGGGGTCCCCCTGGGCTGCGGAAGGAAAAACCCCCTGCCCGGCCCGAACAAACAAGCAAACAAAGAAAAAGGGAAAGAAAAAAGAGAAAAGTGAGAAGGAAAGAACGAGGGAAAAGGGGAGGAGGAGCAGAAGAAAAGGGGTAGAGAAGGGGGAAAAAAGGTAAACGAGTTTAAAATAATAATAATAATAATAATAATAATAATAATAATAATAATAATAATAATAATAATAATAATAATAATAATAATAATAATAATAATAAAAAGCCGGAGTCCGACCCAGCCAACAGATACCCGAAAACTCTCCTACTGTCCCCTCCGAAGCCTGGCTGAGAGGGCAAAGGGCTCAGGGCACCTCTCCTGCGCACTTCCCTTCCCTCTATCCTAACATCGCCATCGCCATCACCATCATTACTATTACTATTAATTACTATTACTATTACTATTACTATTACTATTACTATTACTATTACTATTACTATTACTATATTTATTTTTCATTCCCCAGTCATCTCCCTGCCGGGGTCTCCGGGCACCTCTCGCCCGTGCAGGGCAAATGCAGCGGGCGCAGACAGGACTCCCCTCGATGAAGGGGGTCACTGCACCCCCCGCGCCTCCTGTTCCTTCCTCCCGTGTAACGGGACAGCTAAAGAGGGGGGGGCTTCCCCGAGGGGGTGACATGGGGTGCGCGGGGCGGGTGGGATTCGCGACCCCCGCTCGACGGCGGGCGAGGCAGCCCGGCGGGAAATAGCCCGGGGCTGCCCGAGCCCCCTGCCAGCCTCCCCCGGGGCCCAATATGCTGTGTTTGGAGCGAGATTTCGATTTCGCACTATTTCTTTTTGTTTGTTTGTTTTCAGTGTCAAAAAATAAAATAAAATAAAATAAAATAAAATAAAATAAAATAAAATAAAATAAAATAAAATAAAATAAAATAAAATAAAATAAAATAAAATAAAATNATAAAATAAAATAAAATAAAATAAAATAAAATAAAATAAAATAAAATAAAATAAAATAAAATAAAATAAAATAAAATAAAATAAAATAAAATAAATTCCCCCGGGCTGGGTTTGCCCCGCGCCTGCCCCGAGGCTCCCGGCCCGCTGAACTCCGGGGCCGGGCCCCGCACCTGTGTTGATCCAATATATTGCCCCGGGGACAACAATGCGCGGTTATCTCGGCGGAGATAGCGCGCCGGGCCGCGCTGCCCCCGGGTGGTCTCCTTTGAGCACCCCGCTCGGTAACCCCCCCGCGACCCTCCGCGCACTGATCCCTATCGCCCCCCTTTGAAGAGCCGGGCCCGGCGCGGGGCGCTGCGCGCTGCCCGGCGCAACGCGACGCGGCGGCCGCCGGGGCGCAGGGGGCGGCAACCGGGACCCCCCGTCCCTGCTCCCATCGCCCAAGCCCCCGTCTTGCGCCGCGACAATCCGTGAATGAGATAATGATCCATAAAGCTCCCTGATGGATGTGCCGGGCTGGGGATGTCTCCTCTAAATTAGCCGCTTGCCTCGCCTGCTAATAATGGTGAGTTTATGAAAGCAATTTCAGTGCAAAAAGCACGGGGTCTGCTCGGTCTAATCAGCCTGCCTCGCCTAATGGATGAGGGGGTCAGGCTGAGAATTATTGACACGCCGCTGCCCTTAACCCGTTTCCCAATAAAGCTGATTAGTTTTTGTCAATTCATCAGCTCGCCGCTCTCGCCGCGACTGCATCAAAGCCCTGTTTGCTCAGGGGAAATCAACAAGTCACCGAGCGGATCCATTAAGGAGCGGCCCCGACGGGAGCCGCTTCCCGGGCTTGGGGACAAAACGGCTCCCGGGGGATGGGGACGAAAAGCGGCGGGGAGGCGGCCACGCGTGCTCGGGAACCGCCTGCGAGCGGCGAACTTGGAATTTTGGCCTGGAAAGGAGAAAAACGGATATCCCGGGACCCCGGGATTGCCCTGAGCAGCTCGGAGCTGCCCGCGTTTTGGTTTTCGCTGCCTCGGAAAAGTGGCTGAAACCTTTCCCTTCCCCTCACCCTGCCCCTTGTCTGCAAACAAGACTGTCCCTGCACCGAGAATCCAGAATACATCACTTCATACAAGTATATATATATATATATATATATATATGTATTTATCATTTCCCCGTGATTAACTTTCAAAGTTTTGCCGCGGTTCTCCGTAAAGAGACACATCACTCTGCAGATGTTTTCAAGCATTATTATTTTTTAAATTATTTCCTCTGCTATCGGAACCCCCCCCGCACCGGGGTTCGTTGGGACTAACGAAAACCCGACACGACGGGCTCGCCCGCGAGCAAACAAGGGAAAAGGCGCTGCTGGGCGCGGCCCCTTTAAGGCCCGACCGCCAGGCTCTCAGCCCACCCCCCTTCACTTTAATTTCATTAAAACAGAGCATGAATATTTCTATTAAACCTAAAATGAAATATGAAGCCATTTAGACTCTGCCTGCACCAATCACCCAGATTTATGACTTTTATTCATCACATCAAGAGCTGGGAAAAATGAATTTTCTTCACCCAGGAAGGAAATAAAACTCCTGCCTTGGTCATTTCCAGAAAGCTGTTAATTTGCCCATGTGGTAATTACTTTCACAATTAACTAAAATACAAATCAACTTGACAAATTGCGCTAGTTTATATATTAATTAGCCGCCTTAAATTTATTCATTATGAAAAGACAATTCCCGGGGACCCCGGGTGTCTGTTTTATCGCCATAAATTCCCGTTGGGAAGCGGGGGCCGCGGGCGGCTCCGCGGGCGCGGGCGCTGCGCGGGCGCGGGGCGGAGCTCGGGGGGGGGGACGCGGGAGGGTGCGGGAGCCGCCCCCGATCCGCGCTGATTTAGCGCAACGTCGATAGGATCATTCGCTGCCTTTTAGCTTGTGATCTTTATATATGTCCCGCTATTAAATTAGAAAATGATTCTCTCCTCGTTTAATTGTATTCTTGCGTTTCTTATTTCCAATTAATTAGTCCCATCGACGTTGCAATATTTTAAATGACTGGAGTCCGTTTACAGTTTAAAATATATGGGTCAGCGCGCGCGCTTTGCGGCTCGGCAGGGCTCTATAATGCGGGGTTTAACGACTCTCCTCCCATACGTCTTGAACGCGCGGCCGGGGGCGGGGGGCCCGTCCCGCTGCGCGCCCCGCCGCGGGACTCGGCGCCGGGAACGTCCCCACAACCGGCTAAATACCCGGGGCGCTCAGCGGGCTCGGGCGCCTGCGGAGGGACGTTTGGGTCGCTCCCTGGCAGGACTCCTTGGAGTGTCGGGGGATCTTCCTTGTGAGAGCTGGGCTGAGCTCAGCTGGGTGGGCACAGGAGTGGGGCAGCCCCCGTGTCCCCCGTCCCCTTCTCTGTGGGCTCCCCCTGGACACAGGTGGACACCAGGCCCAGGTTCCTCATCCCTTCCCCAGCAACTCCCTCCTGCCCCATCCTGCTGCCCAACAAGTTCAGACTTGAGGGCTGAACCATGACAGGACCTCCTAAAATGCACCCATGGTGGAGACCTGGGTGTGCCTGGGGGCGACACAGAGAAGAGGGGTCTCTTAGGGGGACCCCTGGGCTCCTCCTCAGCCTCTGTGCAGCTGGAGCAAGAACTGGGACAGCTTCAGGGTGACACATCCCAGATTTTGAGCCTGTGTCTGGGACGTCCCTCATGCTGCTGGTGTCCCGTTCTCCTGGGTGACACCTGGGATGGAGATGTCACTTTTCCCCCATGCCTGTGGCTGACAGCCATGGGCTTGGGCACAGACAAGCTGAGCACAGTCACCCCGAGACTGGCAGAGCTGTGCTTAGCTGTCCCCAGCCCACCTACTGCCACCACTGCCTCCAAATGGGAGCATCCTGGCACCAACCTTGGGGACAACCTTGAGCTTTTGAGGCTCGGCTGGGCTGAGCCCTGGAGCTCCCATCTAGGAGCCCAGCCCTGCAAATCCCCTTCCACCCAGGGACAGCACCTGGCAATGGGACTTGTTTGGGGAAATAACAGGTCCCTGCAAATGGGCAGTGTGGCACCTGCCACATCCCCAGGAGACGGATGAGGC